GTTTGTTGAGATTTTCTTTCTGACTGTCTACATAGATTAATACTCCAAACAGACGTGAAATAGGTGTCAATCCTAAAATACCTTTTATGCGATTAACCGTTCCAAGGAGCCGAATTTAATTACTGCATTCATTTTCTAACGGTAGAAGTAAAATGTGTAATAAAAATAGAGACAGTGCAGCGGGTCGTTTTGTTTAATCGCTTTCGGCTGGATAACCCGAAGGCAATAGCGCCAAAACGTAGGCAAACTATCTATGTATATATATGATAAACTGTGGATAATGTAACCGTTAATCTAGGAAGCGTTAGTAATTCCATCTAATGAATTGAAGCCACCAAATCTGCAAGGATAAATTACTGGCCAGTTAAAGTAACGCACAACATTAAACACACAGCAAACTGGGCCCGAGATAACACTGTCCATTATACGTATTAATTTGCTGCAGTATAGAATACGGATGTTTTATGTTACAACAGAATGAAAATTAATCCAAGCAAACAAACCACCTACAATGGGATATTCATAACCAAATGGACTAACGGAGAACACGCTGGCAAGGATTAACGATTTTCCTGCTTACAGGAACGCCATCAAAATATGGAATGAAAAGTGTGAATTGGGAGGTATCAATTACTAACTCGGATTTCTCGATAAATCTATACCGTATGTCTCATATGCAGTGGATAATTCTTCCATTGCATATTCTTACACAGTAGTGCTATCACACACTTTTTAATCTTAATAACAGCTGTCATGATTCATTTTTGTTCTTAATGTTAAATTTTTTCTTGTAAGTTTTAGTTTCATTATAATAAGGTCGTCAGTCCTAAGACTGGTTGGTGGTTGAACACACACCCTCACTCTTATCCATTCTGAGCTAATCTTCGCATTTTCCTAAAACTAGAACAACCCACATCTATAACTATTTGCGAACAGTAACCTAATCTAGGTCCACCTCTACCCCTCCTAACTCCCGTTTCCGCCTCTAATATGTCTTTGACTAGACCTTCTGTAGTCCTGTGTTCTTCTATTCTTTCTAATACCTCNGACTCGATGAGCGACGGAGACTCGTGTCTCGCTTTCAGAGACTCTGAGAGACTGAACATTTTTATCTCGGGTACAATTTAAAAAGGTCAAATTTGTAAAAATAAAATTTTATAACTAATGATGTGTGTTATTCTAATCGTCTTTGAAAAAACCGAACACTAATATTGAAATAGATACGGGAAGTTATAAAATGCAGATTTCGAAGTTTGAGAGAAAGGTGAGTTTTACATACATCGATTCTACACTAAAAACGAACAATGCTATGAACAAATCCGAAACGAAAAACCAATATTATGTTTTAATTATGCAGGTGTATGTACGATTAAAAGGAAAGGCATTTTTGTTAGTTAAACCGTTTCGCTTCTTGAAGCGAATCACATATACACATATGTATATATGTATATGTAAAGTTATTTCGTCGTAGTTGTGGCCGGCGGCAACTAGCCGGGTAAACAATGTTTCGTGTGGATAATGTCTGTAGATTTATTCATAGAAGCTTTTGCCCTAATGGCCTTATAAGTTTTCCGTTCGACCGCCAGAAGCGACAGGAGGGATGTGGCAGCAGGGCGGCGGTTGTGAAGCCGTAGAACGAAGCGCGGTGGTCTTATATCAAAGTGTCGTCCCAACGGACCCACCGATGAGGCGGGGAACAGCTGGCCAGCATTAAAGACCTCTTTTAGTCCGAACAAGACGGAGGTTTGCTGTTGTAAATTGGATTTAGTTCGTTGAAAGTACTGGTCAATTATTTGCATGCTTTATGAAAGCGGTTACAAGTGGAAACGGTCGAAAGCTGCACTTGGGGTAATGAATTTTTCAGTTAATCCTAATTTAACTTTCTACAACTACTTAACCCTATTCACCCCATCCATTACGTTGGGAAATTAAATTAAAAAAAAAAACAATTTTCTCTTTAAATACAACAGTTTGAATAGCGACATGTACACCAAACGGAAACTTAGATTGACTATNCTACATAGATTAATACTCCAAACAGACGTGAAATAGGTGTCAATCCTAAAATACCTTTTATGCGATTAACCGTTCCAAGGAGCCGAATTTAATTACTGCATTCATTTTCTAACGGTAGAAGTAAAATGTGTAATAAAAATAGAGACAGTGCAGCGGGTCGTTTTGTTTAATCGCTTTCGGCTGGATAACCCGAAGGCAATAGCGCCAAAACGTAGGCAAACTATCTATGTATATATATGATAAACTGTGGATAATGTAACCGTTAATCTAGGAAGCGTTAGTAATTCCATCTAATGAATTGAAGCCACCAAATCTGCAAGGATAAATTACTGGCCAGTTAAAGTAACGCACAACATTAAACACACAGCAAACTGGGCCCGAGATAACACTGTCCATTATACGTATTAATTTGCTGCAGTATAGAATACGGATGTTTTATGTTACAACAGAATGAAAATTAATCCAAGCAAACAAACCACCTACAATGGGATATTCATAACCAAATGGACTAACGGAGAACACGCTGGCAAGGATTAACGATTTTCCTGCTTACAGGAACGCCATCAAAATATGGAATGAAAAGTGTGAATTGGGAGGTATCAATTACTAACTCGGATTTCTCGATAAATCTATACCGTATGTCTCATATGCAGTGGATAATTCTTCCATTGCATATTCTTACACAGTAGTGCTATCACACACTTTTTAATCTTAATAACAGCTGTCATGATTCATTTTTGTTCTTAATGTTAAATTTTTTCTTGTAAGTTTTAGTTTTATTATAATAAGGTCGTCAGTCCTAAGACTGGTTGGTGGTTGAACACACACCCTCACTCTTATCCATTCTGAGCTAATCTTCGCACTTACCTAAAACTAGAATATCCCACATCCTTAATTACTTGTGAACAGTAATTTAATCTAGGTCTACCACTACTCCTCCTAACTCCTGTTTCTGCTTCTAAAATGTATGTGACTAGCCTCTAATACCTGAGGTGTCCTACCAGCCTATCTCATCTATTTCTTATTTCACTTCCATAGAGTCCTCTGTTCTTCCATTCTTTCTAATACCTGTTCATTTTTGACTTTTTCTATCATTTGTCTATGTGGCGCCGCGCTTCAGACATACACCTTTAACAGTCTTTTTCGAATTTCTAAAGTAACCGCTAGCGGACATAAAAGTGACGTCTTTTTAGTGAAGGAGACTCGACCCTGCGCTATCCTCTGTTTTATATCTCTACTGCTCCTTCCATCCTGAGTTTTAGTTTATTACCTACTACTTAAGATACCTACACAGGCATGGGCGACGAAATTCCTTAAAGATTGCGTACCCAATACGGATTGCAAAAGCTTTGTTATTTCCAATTATAGAGCAATTACCATTACACATCCGATGCTTCTGGAGAAACAAGTCTGAAGTTTAATACAGGATTTGTGCCTTCACTTTACACAATTTCGACTTTGATAAGCTTTTATAAGCTCTTGGCCAGTACATTAATCGAAACTACTAGACACGGATTGCGATTTCGATCTGACTAGATTTCATTATCTCACCGTAGGCAGTCTCAATAAATCACCGATGATGCTCTATTTTAAGTATGCTTATATATAACGTCACGTTACGGCAGGATGTCGCCATCTAGTAATATTTGCTGCTAACTGAAATGTTTCAAATGTAGACAATTGTCAACCGAATCGACCTTACAAAACTATAGCTTAATAAAGCGCTTGCATAATATCTGAAATACTTTAGAACCTACAATAATTTAATTTATTTCAATTTTAGATATTATAAAAGGAGATTAGGAAGAGAACGCCTTTTCTAGTGCCCGCGGATGTTTGACAATTTCCATTTTCGTATTTCCCAAACTAAAATTTCCATCCAGTAATTTATTCTAAACTAATATTGAAAAATATGCTACATTAAAAAGTCTGCAATTGTGGGGTTTTTTACTAACGTAAAATTCAACTTTTTGAGTGGTTCTGAGGCCTCCCATGCATTTTAAAAGTTATTCACAATCACTAATGGTTCACCCTGCTTATGCATGTGCGTGGAAAAAGACACATTCACCCACATGTGTCGTCTATTAAGGAGCAAAACATTTTAGAATAAAATCGAGCATATCGTCCTTATGAAAGTTAGGAAGATAATCTGATTAAAGGAGAAAAAGACATTGACAGTATGTTACGTGTGATCTCTCAGTATTAGTTTACTATGCACCTTAAACTACCTAATTTAGTCAATATATTCACAATGAATTTATAAACTTAAGGCTGGTATGACAACTAATTACTGTATCTGCAACTGAAGATAAATTATCCCCTTGATCGAGCCATTACGAAGGAAGTGAAAACAGAGTGAGCTTTAACTTTTCATTTATTATTATTTTTGTCAGGATACAAAGTAACCTTTTTGAAAGAATTTGACTTTTTGAAGAAGATAATTTGATAATCGTTGAAAAAGGATAGGCAGAATTTGCAATGACAACGGATCTTGAGAACTGGGGTCACGAAAATATTCTAAGCCACTTTATTCCGGTCACGAACTGAAGCACTGATATAAGTCGAATTCTCTTGTTCTCTGCTTCCTCTCCTTCATACTTTTAGACGTCGCAAATTTATTTCGTAGAAATAACACTGTGGAAAAAGAGGCTGTAGTGAATTTTGAATATTTGAAAAGGATAAATTGTCGTTCCTATGTTAAGCGCTTGCTAAAATAGAATGTCGCCGTTACAACCCTGTTATCGCGAATGCATCCGGAATAACAAAATCCCATTCACGCGTCCAACGCAAACTCTTGGAAAAATCGCCACAATTATTTAGCATTAACAACATGCTTATTATGAGGTTGTCTAAAACTTTCAGAAATCTCGACGTGTATGAATTGCCCAATGTGTCACATACAATTTCATTATTTACGAATTGCGGTTATAGAACTTTTTAATCTACCAACTTTCAAAAAGTTTACCACATTTTTTTTGTTCCAGACACATTCTGACGTTCCAGCACAACCGGATATAAGCTCAGAATGAGAAGTTACGTGAAACTCAAACATATTTATCTTGTGCTGTTTATATTATTTCGAAACGTTTCTGCCTGTCCAAGTGTTTGTACTTGCAAATGGAAAAACGGAAAGCAGACTGTAGAGTGCAACTTTCGCGATCTGCTTGCTATTCCAGAAGCAATTGACTCCAACACTCAAGTGCTCGAATTCTCGGGAAATAACCTTCAAATGCTAACCAGAGAGAAATTCCTGAAGATGAGCCTCATAAATCTGCAAAGGATTTACCTTTCGAGGTGTAGAATTTCGACAATCGACGCAAAAACGTTTAAAGGCCTTACAAACTTGGTCGAACTCGATTTAAGTCACAACTTGTTGACGAATCTTTTGCCGGACACGTTCGTCGATTGTACGTCACTTATGAAACTAATACTTGCATCGAATCCGCTTAAATTCATAAAAAAGGATACCTTTCTACACTTGCAGAGTCTCAATTCTTTAGACATAAGTCGTTGCGAGATAGCTTCCATTGAGGAAGGATCGTTTGATGCACTGCACAGCTTAGAGTGGCTCCATTTAAACGGTAATAAATTAACCGGCCTAAAGGGACCCCTGCTCCTACCGCAGACGCTGAGAGCAATAGATATTCAAGGTAACCCATGGAAATGCGATTGTAATATAGCTGATTTTCACGAATGGTTGACCGCTTTCCACGTTCCGCGTGCTGAAGAACCTGTATGCCAAAATCCTCCGAGACTTTTTGGTAAAGAAATCGCTTCCATTCCCATTGAAGAATTTGCCTGCTTACCAAACGTATCGCCCACAACCTTCTTTCTGGAAGTAGCCGAAGGAAAAAACATTTCGTTATTATGTCATGTGCAAGCGGTTCCAGAAGCTCAAGTCTCATGGCTATTCCAGGTACGCAATAATTTTTTTCATCTGCATTGGCACGGTGTTGTAAATTGATAGTAACTGTTGTTTCAGGGAAGAGTACTCCAAAATGACACGTTAATCGCACCCGGAATGCATCTGCTCTATTATTTTGAAGAAGGATCTACTGATAAACGTAGCGAACTTTTCATCTACAACACCAACGCTGAAGATAACGGCACATTCGTATGCACGGCAGAAAACGCTGCCGGAATCTCACAGGCAAACTTCACGATTAAAATAGTTGTGAAGGAAGATCCGATTGTTATCATTGTTTCCTTTCCAATTGAATACATCATGGCGGTCATAGCGGGAGCATCGTTGCTGATACTCGTAATGATAATTATTACGGTGATACTTGTGTTTAGGTGCCGGCGAAGACAAAAGAGACAAGCAAAACGAGACAAAACAAAAGAAGTAGCTCTTCAGTATCAACAAAATCCTAAAGATTCTGTTATGAACAACGACCAAAGAAACGATTTACGAAACAGCATAGAAAAGCATAACATTGCCGTTGCAACTCATCAGGAACAGCAGACATGTCATTATGTAGCAAGGTAAGCAAATTAGGGGGTCAATTTTCGCCTATTACGGGGAGTAATATTTTTTTATGATAAGTAAGTTAGATTATCTGAGGACAGGAAAGAGTGGAGGTACGTCTCCAACCAGTCTTAGGACTGACGACCTTATGATGATAGACTATGACCTACCTTTACTTTGCAGAACATGAGTCCCAAAATTCATGGAATATTGGTACCTAGAGTGATGAACATTATTATGACGTATAACAGGCGCTTCAACCGAACTGATTCAATGCATATGCGATGGGGGAGCGAAATTTCAGTACTAACCTATCCTATTTCATCTCTCGTTGGTTAAATTAATAACGAAACTTGCTAACTAAAATAAATTATTGTTCTAATAAAAGTTATAAACTAGTAGGTAACTTTTAAAAAAAATGCTTTAAAAGGGGCTCAAATACACCACTGCACTACAGTGTCAAGCAATATCCCATGAAGTATGTAACAAAATTGCGATCTTTCTTTATGATATTACTTTGATAGCACATTCCTACGTAACTCCATTAAGTCGTTACAGCAACTCTTCTTTTCTTATGCCTCTGTTTCAGATCAAACGAGGATTTGCTTCGATCATCAATACTACTTCCAGTGACAGTAGATCGAGCAAAGGAGAGTCCATCTTCATTACGTCGTTATCAACAAGAACAAAATCCGGACCTAATAAACGATGCAGAAGGCGTGGAACGGCGTCGTGACGGTGATGGAGAAGACGGCGTGGAGGTGAACTACACCGAAACCGTCTGCAATGGTAATTCTACGCAACACATTATCCAAATAGCACATCCCAGAGTCGCTGGTAATTTCTTTTCCGACGTGCATCTCAACCCAAACTGCCTCATCGATCCGGACGGTTACCCCGCTGACTACGGACTTCCAAAAGTGGCAGCACGACACCAAGTGAACGACAGTTTCTATCGGACCCTTCCTTACAAAAGAGACTCCAAAAGACTTTCAGCGGCAAATCCTACCAGCCGATTCATACGGGAAGCGGAATTTTTAACGCGCAATGCTCATCCAGCGGCCTACGAACATTATTGCCCGGGTGTGCGGTACACCGCTGACGGTTACATGGCCCGATTAGCCGACGCTTCCGGTGAAGTGAATCAAACTTATCCCCCGAACTCTGCACCATCTTCTTTGCCGTGTTGTAGTGCAACGACCATACAATGGCCGCACTGCGTGCCCGCTAATATACACGTGTTAAGTTCGAACAGTGAATTTCCTGGCGTGACAAATGTAGTGTCGAAAAAGTGTGTGGGTGCTCAAACTGACCGCGGAGACGTCGACGAACAGGGTGGTGTCAGTAGCGGATCGTGTTGTGTTTCGACCACCGTTAAAACAACTGTCAACCCTCAGCACTCGTCTACGGACGTTTGTCAGGAAACATTGGCCGAAAGTCCCGATGAAGGTTACGAAGGCGAGGCAGCGTTATAGAAATGCTAACATAATGCGTGATGGATTGTAATTGTTCNGGTAACTTTTAAAAAAAATGCTTTAAAAGGGGCTCAAATACACCACTGCACTACAGTGTCAAGCAATATCCCATGAAGTATGTAACAAAATTGCGATCTTTCTTTATGATATTACTTTGATAGCACATTCCTACGTAACTCCATTAAGTCGTTACAGCAACTCTTCTTTTCTTATGTCTCTGTTTCAGATCAAACGAGGATTTGCTTCGATCATCAATACTACTTCCAGTGACAGTAGATCGAGCAAAGGAGAGTCCATCTTCATTACGTCGTTATCAACAAGAACAAAATCCGGACCTAATAAACGATGCAGAAGGCGTGGAACGGCGTCGTGATGGTGATGGAGAAGACGGCGTGGAGGTGAACTACACCGAAACCGTCTGCAATGGTAATTCTACGCAACACATTATCCAAATAGCACATCCCAGAGTCGCTGGTAATTTCTTTTCCGACGTGCATCTCAACCCAAACTGCCTCATCGATCCGGACGGTTATCCCGCTGACTACGGACTTCCGAAAGTGGCAGCACGACACCAAGTGAACGACAGTTTCTATCGGACCCTTCCTTACAAAAGAGACTCCAAAAGACTTTCAGCGGCAAATCCTACCAGCCGATTCATACGGGAAGCGGAATTTTTAACGCGCAATGCTCATCCAGCGGCCTACGAACATTATTGCCCGGGTGTGCGGTACACTGCTGACGGTTACATGGCCCGATTAGCCGACGCTTCCGGTGAAGTGAATCAAACTTATCCCCCGAACTCTGCACCATCTTCTTTGCCGTGTTGTAGTGCAACGACCATACAATGGCCGCACTGCGTGCCCGCTAATATACACGTGTTAAGTTCGAACAGTGAATTTCCTGGCGTGACAAATGTAGTGTCGAAAAAGTGTGTGGGTGCTCAAACTGACCGCGGAGACGTCGACGAACAGGGTGGTGTCAGTAGCGGATCGTGTTGTGTTTCGACCACCGTTAAAACAACTGTCAACCCTCAGCACTCGTCTACGGACGTTTGTCAGGAAACATTGGCCGAAAGTCCCGATGAGGGTTACGAAGGCGAGGCAGCGTTATAGAAATGCTAACATAATGCGTGATGGATTGTAATTGTTCCTAACAGGGTATGACTTTCAAAGCAATATGTGTTGATATATTAAATAACAAACACTACAGAGGCACTAGGTTGCATGTTTGAAGAAATGAAAAAAAAAAAATTAACAATCAGTATTAATGTAAAGAACGATTTGCTGTAAGGTTTAGCGGACATATAAAAACATTACAGTCGTCTGTGCGAATGTTTATTATAAAACGTGTATAATACAATGATTCGTCACTTTTTTACATGAACTTAACAGTTTTCTATTGAGAGTAGGTAAATTTGCACTTTTAATGTCGTTATTCGATATAGCTACACACATATTTACATACATACTACAATATACCTACTGTAACAGGCATTTGAAATCCCAAATATCATCAATTTATGTGATAGCAGTACTAGCAGACAAAACACAAATGTCGTAAGTGTTCAGAAAACCCAATTGAGCTGTTTCTTTCTGTCAATGCTTTTAGACCATATCCTCTGCCTTAATTTATTAATGTTATTTCGGCTGTCAAATGCTTCTGACAATGTAGAAAAACATAGCATGAATCGTGTCCTTAGCAATTTATACGTAATTGTATACCAAATTTTCAAAATGGCAATTACAATCATGTATTTAGAAATATTGTCTCTAAGTTTTCCAAAATAATTTAACCATTCTTTTTCTGGTAAATCAACTTTTTTATGAATAATTAGTAACCAAATATCGTCAAACTTCTTAAAATATGTCTAAAAAGATGTTCTTGATTACCACAAGCAGATTCAATAGATGCGGCTATAAAATTAAGATATGTTTCATAATTCTCGAGCACCAGACGTAAGAAAGACACTTATTACATATTATTTCGTATCTTTCCGATCAAGCATCATTCGATATGCTGTCCGTGAAGTACCTGTTTCAGTAACACAAATTAAAAGTGCAAGTACCTGCAATCACCATCTAACAAAAACCACACTTGAATAAACTGTGATAATTCGTTTAAATCTCCTTCGCTCTTGTAAAAAGATTTTAAAGATAAACAGTACGATGTCAGACATCCCTTGTAATTTCATCGTTGAGGTTGTGTATACCTACATATATAGATACATATTATATTGGTGAAAACATTTTGAAAGTTATTTTGTAAAGGGTGTACATAAGTAAACCTAGTCAAATACATAAATCGTTTAGACATCGTAAAAGGAGTGAAAATTTTATGTTGCACAGTAAGCTCCGTAAATCGTAAAATGTGGTTTTATACATTCTCGTAAAGAATAATACTGCAACAAAACTTGTATCGTGGATTTGGAGAAGACAGCTTTGAACTTTAAAAACTAGTTTGAACGATTTGACGAATGCAAGTAGCCAAAAAAGCACTCGAATTACTCGAGATATTACATTTATTACATTTATGATATAAACGAGATACGAGATAAAAATGTTCAGTCTCTGAAAGCGAGACTCGAGTCTCCGTCTCTCATCGAGTCTCTCTGGTGTCGCTGAGAGAGACTATCGAGAGACTGTCAAATAAACTGTTTAGCGTCTCTGAACGAGAGACTTGAGTCTCTCGATTTTTCAGTTTTATTCATTCAGTCTCTCTGTGAGAGACTCAAGTCACTGAATTAACAATTTTATCGTTCGAGTCTTTCATACAGAGACTGTGAGAGATCCATAAAAACACCTAGGCAGTAACTAAGAGACTGTGAAAGACGCTCTCAGAGACGCTAAAAGGCTGAGAGACTGGAGAGACTGAAAATTTTCGTCTAGGGCTATACTTGTTTAGTAAGCACACACATACTAAAATGTACAAAGAGAGTGTAAAACTATTGTGGGTCTTGAAGTTAAAAGCTTATTAGAATGACTTCTTTATAGGTATGTAAAAAAAGTCATTTTTTACCAGAAAACATAAGNAACGATTTGACGAATGCAAGTAACCAAAAAACCACTCGAATTACCAGAGATATTACATTTATGATTTTTTTGAAGTCAAGTTTTTATTGCCCACCTACCACTTAATTTATTATATTAATTAATAAAATATAATTAACCTATACTTGCTTGGTAAGCACACATACATAAAAATATTCAATGAGAGTGTAAAGCTATTGTGTGGCTTGAAATTAAAAACTTATTACAATGACTTCTTTATAGGTGTGTAAAAAAAGTCATTTTTTACCCGAAAACATAAGCCTAAGGCAACTTTTTCCATCCTAGAATGTTCTTCATTTAACAGGATAATTCGTATTTACGATAGGCATAAATCTGCGTCAAGTAAAACGATTTATTTGAAAAAGTTTACGAGAAAGTAGGCACAAGTATAATTAAAACGCGATGTTTTGGAGAGAAGTAAGGTGAAATATTTGTAAAATTTTACATACAAAGCCAAAATAGAAATGAAATCAACAAATGCATTTATTAAAACGGGCGGTTTTGTAATATACAGCATCTATTGTTTCGATATTGGATAGGTGGTTAAATCTATTTGTGTAAACAAATCAACACAAATTATGCTCTCCGTTTAATAAACTTGTTTGAATAATAGCGTAATGTTCATAAACACCTAAATTTTCATAATACAATAACTGAATAAAATTTTTAGTCTATTATAATAGGTGTATATTTTTGTCTCTGTTAAATTTAAAAAGTTCCCGTTTGATATATAACACATCTATCCACAAATCACGTAAGACATTCAGGAGGAGAGGCATGCACATTTTTCTTATGATTTCTTACGAAGAGAAAAGGGTGGTACACAATCCGTTTTTTTTATGACCATATTACAAAGGTACGTGGTGGCTTTGGGTTGGGACCATGAAATTCTTTTACTTTATTTTAGAACTATTGTTCTTTAAATTTTAGAACCCATTCTAGAAACTCAAAATTTTAATAAATTAACTATTAATTTATTAAGAATTCTTTCTGAAGTCAGTTCCTCTAACAGCAAGAACATTTTTTAAGATGAAAAACTTGGGTCTTAAAATAAAATATTTCAAAATATTCATTATTAATTATATCCAGCCACAAGGAAGATTAAAAAGCAAAAAGACTTTTTAGTTTAGAACAATGATGATGTAACTGCACAGTCTAGACTTCTGGACAAATGAAAACTACCTAAAAGTTTGTATAAAGTCGTATACAATAGAAGCAAGAACGTAGTTGGTCTTTTACAGAAGGTTAAGCCTTATAAGGGAGCTTATTTGTCTAACAGAAAATTTTTACTTCAACGTATATTCCAATATAAAGCGTAGGTCAAAATTGAACTAGTTTAGAGTAGATACGATAATAAATAATAATGTTAGCCTAGAAAATATATGTTAAAATAATGAACATTATTATCATGTAGAAAATGTAGAATGTATAACAATAGATGCAAATATATTTTCATTTTTTTGTTGATACCACCAATAACATTTTTATCTTACCCTTTTCAAATAAACCCTTTGAAGCACTATTTCAAAATAGATAACAATTATATTGATAACAAACGATAAATATGCTAAGTTTCGAATTTAATCTTTTCAGAATTTATAAAATGTATCTAACATTAGTTACTTATAAAGACTATCATTAGTAAAAACTAAACTCAATACAAACGCACGGCTATTTTCTATGTAATGAAAATTTCTCCATTTTTAAATAATTTAATTGAAGTTCACGGTTGTTAAGTTCTTTATATATCTTAATGTATGTTGACACATTCTGCCAGAATGTACATGTTTTGACTGAAATGAAAAGTTTTGGCATATGGAAAGAAAACAAACTTCATATCAGTTGGAGCTTCATGGTAAGTAAGCACATTAAAGTTCTATTTCTAAAAACACTTCCTAGATATTCAAAAAAGTAAAATAATAATTTCATAAAAGCATAAGTACTAAATTTTATACCAATATACCAAGTAAACTAAGGTTATAATCTCTTCAAAAATAAAATAAATAATAGTATAAATAGGGTGTGTACGTATTACGTGTATTAGTTTTATTAACAACTTTACAACTCTTTAAATCTAGCTTTTAATTTACTCACTTTATTGCAATAAATTCAAATTTTTATCTTCGAAAATATTCCTCATATCACCACCATAACGTCGTCAGTCCTAAGACTGGTTGGATACGCACCTCCACTCTTTCCTATTCTGAGCTAATCTTGGCATTTTCCTAAAACTAGAACAACCCACATCTATAACTATTTGCGAACAGTAACCTAATCTAGGTCCACCTCTACCCCTCCTAACTCCCGTTTCCGCCTCTAATATGTCTTTGACTAGACCTTCTGTAGTCCTGTGTTCTTCTATTCTTTCTAATACCTCTTCATTTCTTGCCTTCTCTATCCACGATATCCTCATCATTCACCTGTGACACCACATTTCAAACGCTTCTAACCTTTTCTCTCCGCCGCGCTTCAAACACATCTACACCTTTAAGAATCTTTTTCGAATTTCTAATCTTACCGTTCGCGAGCATAGAAGTGACTTATTTTTATTGAAGACGACTAGTCGCCCTTCCGTCCTAACTTATATGACTTCCTATATACCTTAAATAAATCACTTCTTCTAATTATTCGTCTCCTATCTTTATATTCGCTCTATTCCAACTTTTTCTTCCCTTGCATACCAGTATTTTTGTTTTACTTTTATTTATGTTTTATACAATGCTGTTTCGTAAATACCACTTCCATTTTAGTTAAAACTACCTCTAATAACTCCTCCTTGCTAGACGGCAATACTGCTATATCATCTGCAAATCTAAGCAAAAGCAAACTAATATTTTGCCTCTGTATGTCTAACTCTACAGTTGTACTGTCTTTGATGATTTGACCGCGTCTTCCTTCCTAATATTTACTTCTCTACGTTGCAGCCCCAAGTATACAACTGCCTATTGCTCTTTAAACAAACTAAGTATCACTCTTTTATCTGTGTAACTCATCCCTACATTTTTAAGTATATTTAACATCTTGTCCCATTTATCATTGACAAAAAAGCTATTTCTAAAACTGCAAATACTATGTACGCAATATTTTCTTTTTCTACCGTTTTCTGCATTGTTACCCGTAAAGCTAGAATAGCCTCCCGCGTACCTCTATTTCTTCTAAACCCAAATTGATCTACTTCTTCCGCCCTTTTTTTTTTCATCCTCCTCGGTATACAATTCTAGTTAAAACTTTTGACGCATGGGAAGTTAAGCAGCACGAATTTATTAATATCTTGTAGGCTTTAGTGGGTTTACAGAAAAATATAATTTACTAACAAAATACAGCTTTCTCATTGCCACTTCAACTATGTGAAAATGAATCCGTCTGAATAAATTACGTCTGTAGAGTGAATCAAGGGAGCATCATTTCGTATCATACACTTTGACTGTGTTATGACATTCATTCCCGTTCATTCCAAATAAAATTAAATAAAAGTTAATTGGTTGAGTACCGATACGTAAGGACGTACAATCTGACTACATACGTATGTATACGGGACTCTATTCAAGCCACGTCAAAGCGAAGAGCTTCGTACTAACAACGTAATTAACAAAGTTGAACCGCGTTTTAGTAAGAAATTAAATTTCCCTAAATCGGATAAATCAACACCATATAATACAAGGACTCAGCGCTTTGCGTGACTTTAACATAGACAGGTAGCGACTTGTATCGGCACCCCACGTTAACCACGTACATTATCATGAGTTATGCCCTAATTTATCATTAAAAAAGATATTTATAAAATCTCTGAAGGCTTTTGGCTGTAAAAGGGTGCCAGTCTCAACTAAGACATTTTTTTCGATTTTAAAAAATATTTTATATAAAATGGCTTATTTAGTAAGAATTTTTAATTTACGACTTTTAAAATGGAAACATGAATTATTTTTCTTATTATTATTACCTATCCTTTTGTTACAAGAAAGAAATAATTTTTTCTTGTTCCTCAAGAGCCGTTTTCTTTTTCTGTTGTATACTTTAATGCGGATTATGCGCTTTCCGAAATAAAAATGTTTCGTCTAATGCGTACTGAGCATTAGATTCATAATTACTAGTCTGTATACTTTACACAACATCATTAGCCCTTGCTTCAGGGAATTTTAATCCCTTTTTGACGTAATTTCGCGGCATTTTAAGTTACTTATTACTACTCAGCTTAAGTACATGCGTCTTCTCTGAAATCACACTAGAGACTAATTTAAATCGTGCCAGTTAAAGAGCAGACTGCAGAAACATACATCTTCTTGTGCCTACGTTATGCGGTCATGATGTCACAACATCTAGATTTTGTTGAATAAATCCGTTACACAAAGTCCAGGGAAATAAGATTTATGTAAGGTAAATAAATGGCGGGTAGCTTACAGGTCATTTGTTATTAAACTACCCTTAATAATATTTTCTCCAAAATTCCAAAC